TATACCCGGTATATAAGACGACCCCTGATTTTTGGGGGATGTTTTTTAGCATCAAAAGTCATCTTATACGCCGGAAAATACGGTATTTGTGATGGGAGTTTTGGAAGTAGTGGATAGAGGTTCCTGTCATAGGGGAAACAATTCCAGCTGGGTTTAGAGTAAAAGGAAAAATTCCCTGGGGAAACACTAGCTGTCACACGCAACTCTTTAGTCAGCACACATCAACTCATATTGTTGCAGCACTGGAGGAAGAACAGTAAACCGACTAGAATTTCAACATGTTCCACTCCCTGCTGGGCTGACCCTCTTCTGCTGGAGATTATCAGCAGCACTTGTGTGACCTAGCATTGGCGTAAAAAAATCTAGAAGAAAAACTGTGTCAACCAGTTTTATAATCCATTTCTTTAATGACTGTGTTAAAGTAATGAAATAGAATGTTACATTTTATTGTGCAAGAACCAGACGGAAACCCGTTCTTTTGCACAATGGAATGCAAGCTGTTCCCTTTAGACCGCTGCTTTTCCTGTTCAGCTCAACCCTTGGGGGATTGGGGTAGAGAGAGGAAGAAGAAGGAGGGAATTCACAGGCTGATGCTCTCATTTGGCAGGGCTGACTGACAGGAGAGAACCAAATTAGGTGTGGCTTAAAAGAGCTCAGCTTGACAAAGTTCTTCAGTTTTCTCTGCAGCTAGAGCCATCTCCCTGCAGTGCAGAACTCATGTTGGTTTCTGCTAACTTTATTTTCTCTCAGGCCAGATCTCTACTACCCAGAAGATCAACACTGCTGCAGTCAATCCTCTGGGGTTTGATTTAGTGGGTCTAGTGAAGATTTGCTAATTCCAACTGAGAGGGTTCGCCTGTTGTTGTAGTCCTGCTCCTCATGAAGAGTAAGGGAAGCCAACGGGAGCATTTGCTCCCATTGACCTCCCGCTGTGTGGATGGCGCAAAAACGCAATTTAAGATATGTTGACTTCAGGTACATAATTAGCATAGTTGGAGTTGTGTATCTTAGGTTGACCTTCCCCTTTACTGTAGACCTTGTCCCAGAGGGGTAGCCATGTTAGTCTGTATCTTGTAAAAAAAGAGTAGTCCAATGACACCTTACGATGTGTCTACATGACATCTTTAGCTCGAAATAAACTATGCAATTTACTATGCAAATTGTACTATGCAAATTGTGTAGCTTATTTCAATGCTATTTTGAAATAGCTTATTTTGTAATTTGGCACTGTCTACACAGCGCCAAATTTCAAAATAACTTGCTATTCCAAAATGCCCCTTAACCCTTGTGGAACGAGGGTTACTGGCACGTCGGAATAAGCTGCCCATTATTTTGAACACTGTTATGAAATAATGGGCTGCTTCGGTAGACGTGGAATAGCTATTTCGGGTTACTTCCAGTATCCTGATACCCACGAAAACTCGTAATACTATATATATATTTTTGATAGTCTCTAAGGTACCACGGGACTCATCTTTATTTTCCTCCTTCAGACTCCTGTTCCCGCTCTATTCCCACAAGCCACAGCAAACTAACCTTCCTATCTCTCATGGGGAAGAGGCAAAATCTGCAACTTTATTAGAAGGGACAGTCCCTAACCTCTGGATGTGAGTCAGGCTCTCTCGGGACAACTGTACTATTAATAACTCTGGTATTTTTTAAATAGATGAGCTTTTAATACTGTAAAAAGAAAGGGAAACATACCATTCCTATCATGTGGAGATCTGCATCCATTCACCTTTGTCACCATTCCCCCTTTTTCTGCCCCTTCACATTCATATCTAAATTATAAATGCTAAAATAGCAGATTCAAACTTATAACTTCTCCTTTGAGAGGTGTCCCTGGGGGTGCTCCACAGTAGGTGCTGGTGCATCCCAGCGCCTCTAGATGGATTTTTGCTAGCAGTGCATTGGGGTTGTCCATGAGCGGCGTGCAGTGTACATGGGCCCCTGGTGCCATCGCACATGTGTGGCCCTCCTCCCTTCAGTTCCTTTCTACCCTCCCTGGCTTCAGATGGAACTCTGCTGTGCTCTTGCTCTTTGACTCTTCTATAAACAAGTTCTAGTTAGATAGTTAGTTTAAACTTAAGTTCTTAGTTCGCAGTGTTAGTTTATAATTACAAAAAACCCCAACCCCTCCATTCGCAGTCAACACTCTCTGAATACCACCGTGGCATGGGATCACCCGGCTTTAAACGCTGTGTACTCTGCAACGACGCAATGCCATCCTCAGATGGCCATGACAAATGTGTTAAGTGCCTGGGGCACTCACATTCCCAACAAGACTGTCCACATTGCACAAAGCTCAAAGTGCGTACTCACAAGGACAGAGAGCTCCACCTCAAAATGCTCCTTATGGATAAGGGTAAGCACCTTCTTCTGACCCTAGCTCGGGGCAGAATAATGCAGCAAAAAGGGATAAATCCCCCAAGCCTGCAAAGAGACCGGCAAACTCACTGTCACAACATTTGCCTAAGCAGTGCTCTGCAAGCAAACAATTGGATTATTTCGATAAACACCGCCTAAGCACATTTGACCGCCCAGGTACCTTAGGTGAGCAGCACACTAAATACAAAAAAGCTACAAAGACCACCCTTACAGAGGCAACAGGCCACACCATGCCTGCCTCAGCTAACACGGTACCGAACACAGCACCGCTTACCTCCATACCAGCTTCAGCAGAGCCTCAGGCGCTGGACATGGTACCGCAGCAGCTGACGGGGCAACCACACAGCACTGCCCCTGCCCCTCCCCCTCCCCCTCCCTTTATCAGGGGCAACCCCTCATGCTGCAAGCTCTGCTACTACGGCAGCTCAGGAATTACTCTCAGCAGCAGCACAGCTTCCACGCCACACACTCCCATCATGACTTACATGGTGCACAAAGATCTGACAATATCTTCTACACTCCATTCACCAATTTTGAGTGAAGATAAACACCCTCACTCTCCATTCTCTGATTATTCAGAATCACCCTCCCCCGATCAATGGAAGGGGAAGATGACTTAGCTGTTTTTTGACCTCAGTTATCCCCACACACAGAGGGGTCAGGAATATCATTTAAACGGGCTCAGCCAGATCTTATCAGAGCACGAATGGCTCACTGAGCTCCATATCCCTGGATACCACTGCCAATGCCTTACCTCTCAAATTGGCAACTGGAACCAATGACCTCAGCAACACAGAAAGAGACCACTTAAAACCAAACACATAGTAAGACTGTGCTCTCCCCTGACCCAGTCACCCCAAATTAATATGGGGAGAAATGATACTGAAGGGCAAAACTCCCCAAATTCAACTTCTGCAATTTTACTCCATATGAACTCAATGTCTGGCACAGATGAGGCGATCATACCACCGTCTTCTAATAACACAGAGGACGTTTCATCCTTCCAAGACCTTTTCAAAAGAGTTGCAACTGACTTAAATATTCCCATGGAGGAGGTGCAGGACTCCCATCATTAACTCATAAACATCCTCCAGGCGACTCCATCTGCAAAAATTTCATTACCAATCAATCCAGCCATACTCGAACTGACAAAAACCTTGTGGAAAAACCTGTTTCAATTCCTGTAAAAAGGCAGACCGAAAATACTGTGTCCCTCCCAAAAGCTCTGAATTCCTTTTCACACATCCACTGCCCAACTCCCTCATAGTGGACGCTGCCTAGCAGAGAAATAAACAACAGAACCACTCTACTCCATCTGAGAAGAACAATAAAATACTTGATTCATTAAGCAAAAAGGTATACACCTCAGCTACGCTCCAAATGAGAGTAGCAAACTACGCCAAGTTACTCAGCAAATACTTCAACAATTATGCAAAGATAAATACCTTTTTTGAGGCTATTCCTGACAACAAAAAGGTACATTTCAGAGCGATCGTCTTTGAACGCCAAACAGTATTGCATATAGCTTTACAAGCTGCCCTTCACGTGGCAGATACGGCTACAAGAACAACAGCCACGGCAGTGATCATGCGAAGAGCCTCATGGTTCAGCTCGTTTGCTTTTCCCCACTAGTTCCAACCATCAATGGAAGATCTGTTGTTCAAGAGCGAGAAGCTTTTCTCGGCAAAAAATAATGTAGTCCTACACTCAGTGAAAGACTCCAGGGAGATACTACGTTCACTGGGAATCCAGACTCCTGCAACAAGAACAAGACAATACAGGTATCAGCCTTACCAGAGACCAAGGTACCCACAAGCTACATATCACTACCAAAGACAAGATCACCCACCATACACACCATACACCCACCCATCACACTACGAGGATGAAACAGACAACAAAGACAGAGTTCCCAAAACAACAACCCCAGCTGCCCATCCCAACCAAATAAGCAAATTCGAACCAGCTGTTGAGAGACTAAAAACCACATCGCCTACCCCAGAGCTTCAGTATGTAACCAATCCATTTCACTATTGCCTGCTACCATTTCTCCAAGAATGGCAAGAAGTGAGTGATACAAACTATCCCTTTCCTTTCTCTCCCCCACCCCACCCACCCACCTCATCCCTCTTCAGGGACCCCTCTCACGAGACCATATTACAACAAGAGGTGGATCACCTGCTGCAACTAGGAGCCATAGAACCAGTAACCCTGGAATTCCACAGAACCGGTTTTTACTCTCACTATTTTCACATAGAAAAGAAAACGGGTGGGTAGAGACTGATTCTTGACCTGAGACCACTAAACAAATACATAAAAAGACAGAGATTCAAAATGGTCACACTGGCCACCATTATCTTAGCTCTGGAGCTTAGTAACTGGATTTTGTGTCTCAACTTACAGGATGCATACTTCCAAGTATCCATACGATCGGCTCACAGACGTTTTCTCCATTTTACCCTAGGTGCATGACATTACCAATATACGGTCCTACCCTTCGGATTCTCCACGGCACCCAATGTTTTTTCCAAAATGTTAGCAGTGGTCGCTGTTCATCTCAGGAAATGTGGAGCCACTATCTACCCATACTTAGACAACTGCCTTCTCAAAGCAAGAACCAGAGACGATTCCCATCACCACACTCACATGGTCCTAAGCTGTTTCCACTCTAGGACTTCTGGTAAACCACAGCAAGTCAATCCTCACGTCTACCCAATTCATCCAATTTATTGGTGCCCATCTCAATTCCATCACAGCCAAAGCCTCTCTATCCGCCGACAGATTGATCTGCATCAGCCAATTAGCACGTTTCCTCCATGAGATGCCATCGGTCATGGCTCACTACTTTCTACAACTTCTAGATCACATGGCATCATGCAACCCCGTAGTTCCCAATGCACAACTATTTTTGAGATGTCTCCAAGGCTGGCTTTGACACAAATACAAGTCACATGTACACCGGATGACCAGAATATTATCACTTCCACACACAGTGAAGATGTCATTACAATGGTAGACAAAACCATCCAACCTCTGTCCAGGCATACCCTTTCAAAGCCCAGAACCCACAGTAGTCATCACCACAGACGCCTCTCTCACTGGATGGGGAGCACATATGAAAGGACTGACAGCACAAGGCCTTGGACCTCAGCGGAATGCACTCTACACATCAAGGTCCTCGAACTCAGAGCGGTACAACTAGCATGTAAAAAATTACTTCCCCATACCATGGGAATTCATATCAGAATATATATGGACAATATGGCATGCATGTTCTACATAAACAGGCAAAGAGGTGCTTAGTCACAAGCGCACTCTGGAACTGGTGCCTGGCCTGAGACATCCACATAAGTGCATACCACCTCCCTGGGGCCATCAATATGACAGCAGATGCCCTCAGCAGAGTTCTACCCCCAGATCATGAGTGGGAGCTTAACTATACAGCTCTGAGGAACATATTCAAATGATGGGGTTATCCCCACATAGACCTATTCACCACCAAGGCCAACAAAAAGTGCCTAATGTATTAGTCCAGAGTGGGCCTAGGGAAGCAATCCCTCGGGGATGCTCTCATCCTCAAATGGGGCGCATCCTTACTTGATGTGTTCCCCTCCTTTCCCCTCCTCAACAGAATCTTCATAAAGACACAGAGAGACAAAGCAAAACTCATCCTCATAGCACCTTGTTGACCTTGACAACCATGGTTTCCCCTCCTAAACAGGATGGCCCAATACCACCCAATCATACTCCCATGCACTCCAAAAATACTATACCAATGTGGAATTATGTCTTCTCACCCTCAGTTCCCGACTCTCCACCTCAAGGCGTGGTACTTCGATGGTTCACGAGCATAGAACTGCAGTGTTCACAGCAGGTGCGCAACATCCTTTTACACAACAGGGTCTGTGACAAGAAAAACATACATTAATAAATGGACCTGCTTCACACACGGGGTGGCCTCCCGCAATATACCACCACAGGATGCTCCGCTCCCCGTGATCTTAGACTACCCACTGCATCTTAAACAAGAGCAACTCTCCCTGAGCTCAAAGTCCACTTGGCAGCAATAACAACCTTCTACATGCCAGTGGATGACACTACAGTGTTCACATGCCCAATAACTAAACGATTCCTAAAAGGCCTACAGGCCCTATACCCAGACATTGCAGTCCCTTGAGAACCATGGGATCTACACATGGTGCTAACAATGCTGACAAAACCACCATTTAAACTGATGGCCACATGTTCTTTACACCACCTAACCTTAAAGACCGCTTTCCTAGTGGCAATACCAGCACATAGAGTGGGCGAGATGGCTGCCCTAATGGCTGACCCACCTTTTACCATCCTTTTCAAGGACAAAGTCTCCCTGCGACTGCACCCCATTCCTTCCACCTCAACCAAACTATACATTTACCTGTATTCTTCCCAAAGCCTCACGCCAATGCGTTTGAAGCACAAATGCACATCCTAGATGTCAGAAGGGTGCTCTCTTTCTACATCCATAGGATGAAACATTTCAGATCATCTCCACAACTTTTCATTTCCATTGCAGATCATAACAAAGGAAGTCAAATATCGTCACAAAGATTATCACACTAGATCTCTGATTGCATTGCTACATGCTACTCACTTAACAACTTACCACCACCTACCTCAATCCAAGCA